TGAAATTGTCAGAAATTAGAAAGAAATCTAGATAAATTATAAAAGAGGGCTCATGTTTTCCATACGGACCCCAAGAGCATTTATTTGGGTCAGAGTCCTATGACATAACAGAAGTAATTGTTTAACTTTCAGGATCTCTCAATGGCATAAATGAAAAATATTTAATATTCCGTTATTACTAGTATTGCAGTATTTAATGATGGAGTATAAAATATTGGAAAAATCATAAATATAATTTGCAACTATTGGACAAAGTTAATTTGTGCTAAAATAACTCATTTGGGAAACAGAAAAGAAATTGTTGTCAATCTCACATTTGATCCCAACGGATTTGCATCATTAATGAATTAGGACTCATAGTTGTTGTCAAGATTTTTGCACTAAGCATGCTTATTGACATAAAGCTTAGCTCACTATTTGTGTGTATATCAGTTTCCAGGAAAAAAAATAATAACTCAGTTTGGAGCTACAGCAAAGTAGTCACTTATATTATTCAGGAACATAAATAGGAGAAAATATTTCTAAGCTGTGTGAGAATTGAAAATTTTTCTTGTACTGAAAAATAAACTGCAGGCATTCAGATGCTCCTTAGAATCAAAAGCATGCTCCTCTCCACTGGCTAATAGTGTCCGTTTTTTTTTTTTTTTCTGGCTGCCTGCATCATCACCATCCGAGCCAGAAAGGGAATTAGTCGGTGTTGCTGTGCAGAATGTTAAAACAGCATTTACATCTCTCACTGCTTCTTTGCCATTATCTCCTTCCCTTGCACAGTGAAAATGCCTGGCTACTGAAATGCCAAGGTGAACACAGCCTGATTATAAAATGTGCTGTGGTGAATCATCGGAGGGGACCCACATACTCCTCACTCAGCTGGATACAGCTGCACAGCCACTCCTGTCACCCCTTTTGAGATAAGGACACACACTGAGTGACCCCAACTATTTTGTCTATGACCTGGTAATAGAATGGGACAACTAAATCTATTTTCTCAATCAACACTTATTGAGCACCTAATGTGTGCAGAAACTTGTGTGACCAACTCATCCTGATTTGCCCAGGACTTTCTAGTTTTAGCACTAAAAGTTCAGTGTTCTGCAATCCCTATGTCCCAGGCAAACAGAGATCATAGGTTACTTGACGCATACTAAGCACCAAGGATAAAGACTAATTAGAACCTTGTCCTTGCATCAAGAAGCATGTAATCTAAAAGAGAATGAGAAAAGTAAGTTGGTTATAAGTTTGGAGTGATCAGTACTAAGAATCATGAACAGGGTTCTGTGGAACGTAGAAAGTTGATGTATAAAGAGAGAAAAAGCAAGTGTGGCACATTTTAAATAATTGGTGAATCTAGATGGAGGTGTACAATTTTTTCAAACAATGCATTTTGGGGGTAAGTTTGAAGTTTGAAAGGGCCCAGAGGATGCACCTTCAGAGAAACAATGCTTGAGTCTGATTTAAAGAATCAGCAGCACAACATATACAGTTGAATTTTGCAAATATTGAAAGAGGAGATATCTGTGAAACATCAGGTGATTTTATTCATTCTCTGTGTCTTAAAATGTGTATATTTGGTTCAGATTCGCTCAGCATAAAGTTGCGATTTTCATGTGAAATAGGCAGAATGATGCTCATTCTTGGTGTACTTTATTTTGGAATGGAATAAACTTTACAGTATTTCTGTCCTGAAGCTGGGGATAATTTTCTGAGTTAGTTTTGAATCTATAACACCTGATTTTTTGAGAACAGTGAGAATGAGTGGCCTAAAGGTGGTAGCCCAGAATAGAGTTTAGGAGCACCAAAAAGTCACCCTGCCAATCAAGTCAAGTGTGATGGATTTTTTGACAATTTATTTTGAAAAAAACTCAAACTTACCCCAAAAATGCATTGTTTGAAAAAATTGTACACCTCCATCTAGATTCACCAATTATTTAAAATGTGCCACACTTGCTTTTTCTCTCTTTATACATCTATATTATTATTATTCATTATTATTATTATCATCATTCCTCCTGAATCATTCTAGAGTAAGTTGTCAAAATCATAACCCTTTAATTCTAAATACTTTGGCATCTCTTTTCTAAGAACATGACATTCTTCTACATTACCACAGTATTTCACATTCAGAAAATTTAACACTGATACAATAGCATTACTTAATAGAGAGTTAGTATTCAAATTTTGCCAAATATCTCAATAATGTCCTTTATGGCAGTTATTTCTCTGAGCTAGCACCCAATTCAGAACCAATCATCAGGATGCCATGTCTTTTATTTTCCTTAATTGGGAAGAACTCTTTGGCCTTTCTTTATCTTTTATGACTGACATTTTGAGGAGTACAGGCCAATTGTTTTATAGCATATCTCTCAGTTAGGGTTTGTTTGATGTGTCCTCATGATTGGATTCAGGTTATGAATTTGACTACATAAATGATAGGTCCTTCTTGTTACATCATGTCAGGAGGTGCATGATATCGATTTGTCCAGTTACTTTGATCACTTGGTTAAGGTGGGGGCCTGCCAAGTTTCTGCAGTGTAAAATGACCAGTTTTCCTTTTATAACAATAAGTAATCTGTGGGGTATACTGTGAAATTGTGTAAATATCCTGTTCCCTATCAAACTTTGACTCAACTTTTTTTGCATTTGTACTAGTTTGCTAGGCTGCTACAACAAAGTACCACCAGCTGGGTGGCCTACAGCACAGAAATGTGATGTTGCACGATGTGGAGGCTGGACATCTAAGATCCAGGGGTTAGGAGGGCTGGTTTCTTCTGAGAACTGTGAAGCAGAGTCTGCTCCAGGTGATTTGTTGGCAATCCTTGGTGTTCCTTGGCTTGAGATGCATCAGCCCAATTCTGCCTTCGCACAGTCTTCTCCTTGGATATCTCTGTCTTTGTGTCCCAATTTTCCCTTTTTATAAGGACAAAGTCATATTGGATTAGGACCCACCCAAATGACCCCATTTTTAACTTGACCATCTGCAGCAATGACCGCATTTCCAAATAAGATCACGTTCACAAGTACTGGTGGTTAGGACTCCAAAATCTTTTCATGGGGACACAGTTCAGTGTCTACTGATGATACTTGTTGAGATCAATTATTGCTATAATTGTTGCGGAATGGCGATTTTTTTCTCACTATCGTTCTTTCAACATTTATTAGTTGATGTTTGATGGGTTTAGTTTTTTATAATTGATAAACAGAGATTGTACATCCATGTCTGGATGGAAATAGCACATATCTCAAATGTACAATAATGCTGTTAAATCTCAGTGGCTTAAACCACAGAAATTTGTTCTCTATATATATAAAGCCAGGGAGCAAGCCTATAGACCAAAGATGGAGGAAATCAGAGTGTAGGTTTCAAGCTACCCTAAGCATTTCCTGTGTGTAAGCCACTTCTTGGAATGTCATAACTCTTGGGGCGGGGGCGGGGAGGGGGTGGCGCGATTCACACTCTAAAACAAAAGTAACATCATACATGATTCAAAGATAGGTACCAGTTGTCTAATTCCGCATTCTGGTCCTCTTCAGCACTTTATGGGTGAGTAGACATTTCCCAGTACTGAAGCCTCTGTCATGTTCAGCGTCACAATTAAGCAGGGGCCAAAGACTATAATCCTGGAACTATGGAGCAGCCTGACTAGAGCCAAAATAAAATATCAGAGTTCTTTTATTTCTTTGTGTTCACTCTTAAACCTGGCAAAAGATCTTTGGAATTTTTTTCTCAAATCTATATTCCACCCACAGTAGACATAGAATATTTTTTGCCCAAAGGGTATTGATCTCAAATGTACAATAATGCTGTTAAATCTCAGTGGCTTAAACCACAGAAATTTGTTCTCTATCACTTCTGGATGTCAGAAGTTCAAAATCAAGGTGTTGGCAGGTTTAGTTCCTTCTGAGGACTGTGAGAAAGGATCTTTCCCAGGCCTCTCTCCTCGGCTTATACAGAGTGTCTCTTTCGTGTGTCTCTTCACATCATTTCCCTCTATTCATGTCTCTGTGCCCAAGTTTCCCCTTTTTGTAAGAACACCAGGCTTTTGGGGTTGGGGACCCTACTGACCTCATTTTAAGCTTTCTGAGCTCTGTGAAGACCATATCTCCAAATAAAGTCACATTCTGAGGTACTGAGGGTTAGATATAAATTTGGGGGGACATAATTCAACCTACAACAGATGCATTTCAACCATCCGTAGATTTTCTCAGTATTCATGTAGGCAGAACAGGAAAACAAGGTTGTGACTGTGTGAACCTAGATGTTAATTATGGAACCAAAATGCTACTGAATCGCTCTCTCTACACTTTCCCCGTGTGGATGTCAGTGCTGAGCCTGAAAACACTAAAGATGGTATTGCTAAGCTTTTCCCGGCCATATATCCAAAGGGCTGTAGATTTTACAATTACCTGTATTTGGAATGACTGTTTTCTCTCTGGAGCTAGAGGTTTTTAAATAGGTTTGGGTTGTTGCTAACCATCCAGGTGTGTGCTGTATGGGCCTGTCAATAAGTCAAGAGCTGAGGTAACCAGCAGCTGAATTAGTGACAATATGTATTCTTGCAGAAACAGACAGATCATCGGGGAAAGTGTTTTGTTTTTTGGTACATTGTTTATGTGCATTTATCTGACATCCAGGCAATGAATCCTAAAGAATATATTTAGGGCGTTTGCAGTAGGGCATACCTATGTCTCTCAGCTGAAGAGGAACCCAAAGCCAGTTGAGATGCTTCATAAGTTTTTAATTCAAAGGATGGGAGGATACAAAATATGGAAAACAAAAAGCCAATTACCTGAGAACTCTCTGCCAGAAACTAGATGCAGATTGAGGGAGGAGGAAGCGAGGTTTTCCTGGACAATAAATCCTGTCTCTCTCTTAAAACCGATAAAGAGTTTGTGCTACCCCTATTTCAGATTCTCTAACCATCACCTGCCTTGTGTCCTTGTGTAGAAATGGACAAGGCTTGGGGAGAATATTCACTGTCTTTCCTTGCTTTCTTGATCAGGTCACAGACATAAAAGAGAAACTGAAGCTCTCTAAAAAGGTCTGGTCGGCGTTGCCCTACACCATCTGCAAGGATGAGAGCGTGACAGCGGGCACGTCCAACGAAGAGGAGTGCTGGAACGGGCACAGCAAAGCCAGGTGAGGGGTGACTCGCTGTTCTTACCGTCAGGGCTTCGTACATCCAGCCTGGAAGGCTCTCCTGGCACAACTTTGCAGACCTGTTTATGCAAAAAGCAATGGAGGGTGGAGGGACAAGTCGTCACTTAGCGACAGCTGTTCAGAGTGACAGGTTTGACGAGCACCTGGGAGAACTTACTCTCAAGGTGCCATTAAGCGTGGAATCCTTGTTCTGAATGCCTCTCCTCTGGATGAGGATGGAGGAATGGTGACAGATGCCAGGTTACTGATGTCCTGAGATCACAGAGAGCCTTTTATGTTCACTTAATCACTTTAAGATAGCTGAACTATTTTTATTCACAGTTCAATTTGCAAGGCTTACTGTTTTCTTCCATCACAAATTAAACAGGAAGTGAAAATTCAACTAATTTTTTTCACCCTTGGAGAAAAAAATGTTTTGAAGTGCTTATTGGAAGGGTAAGGGAAAAACAAAACACTGAAAGACAACCAGGAAAGCATTCTCACAGGTCCTGTGCCTTGGAAGGTCCCATTGGAATTTTATGATGAGAAGTGGTTGTTTTCATCCTGCTGTTCTGCTGCCCAGTGCTACCGCCACTTGATATGGAATTTCTGAATTTTTTAATTCAGCCCAGAAATGAACTTGGCCTGAGTTTTCACAGGGTGGAGAAGTTGGATGGGGGGAACTAGCTGGGGGGTTGGCAAGCAGGGCAGGACACCAGGAGAGAAGTCTGCAGGAACCTTTCCCAGCAGCGAGACAGGTGGGTAGAGCAGCTGGTAAGCTGGCTTCCAGGAGTCTTTGGAGACTGACCAGCAGGTGGAGAAGCTAAGAGGGGAGAGTCTGTTCTGGGGCTTTACTGGGCGATCCCAAGCATATGAAGCAGCTGTCATCAAAAGAAGATAAGTGGATATTAAGTTCAGAAGAAACTGCAGAAGGTAAGCAGAGGTGCTCATTAGATGTTATTTCTTACACTGCTGAGTTGCATTTTTTAACATTTATTGGTAATGATATATTATTAGCCATGCTAGGGAAAGCTTAGCAAGGTGAAAACTAGACAGCTATAGAAAGAGCTGTAACATTTCAAGGTGCCCCAAAATATCGATATCCATATATTAGATCATGAGGTACAGAAAGATATTCACGATATCAATGACACATCCCTCAAAAATGCCTCATAATTTACTGGTGTCGAGCCTTTTAGAAAGGAGACCTTTGGCCAGCAAATTCAGCTGTGATTTAACGGCCTCTAATGTGTCTTTTCCTAATTACTGTACAGAAAGCCACCGTAACGGATGACCAGATGGCCTAATGAATAAAGTGGTTGATTTTTCGAGCTGCTCTCTTGCCCATCTGTGTTTACCTTTCAGCCTTGGCTAAAATGAAGGCTGTGTTTTGAACTACATTCCCATGGATGATTACACAGGTTGCTGGATATTGGCGCATATACAATTTCTTACAAAAGGAAATACAAAGAATGGTTTCTGGCAGGGATGGGGAGGAGACTACACTCCATCAAGAAAACAAATGGGAAGGTAAAGACCATTGAAGTTAGAGCAAGAGGTGACTGGAATGGTTGAGCCAAGTTCCTCTTTGTACAGATTAGGGATGCAGACAGGATAAAGGATGAGTCTAAGGTTACCCAGCCAACAAGGGTGAGAACTGAAATCTCCCAAATCCTAGCCCAGTAGTCTTTTTACTTCAAAATCTGCCTCTAAAATGACAGCTAAATATGGCCCTTCCCATGTAAGGAGAATGAATAAAACAGATCCTTAGCTCTGTAAAACGATTTAGTGGATCTACATTCATTCACTCAATCCATCAGTTCATCAGCAACATTTTTAAGCAATCCCTCTGTCCAGATACTGTGCAAGGCTCTGTGAATTAAATGCTATAACATGGCAATGTTGTCTGTCAACACATGAAAAGACACAGTGACTGGAAAGAGGAGAGTGGATTCGGATCTCCAGGTACCAAACAGTTGGACTGTAGCTTGGGAAAGTATCACATTGGTGCAGAAGCACCTGAATTAGGAGGGACAAGATTTGAATTTTATCCTGAAGTCCATGGGAAGCCATTGGAGGATTTTATGCAGGTGAGGAAAACCATCAGATTTAATGCAATTAAAACCATTTGCAAGAACATTCTAGAATTTAATTCAGTGTATTATTAAAAAGAAGAGGCTGTCAAATGTTTGTAATTTGAATTATATTCCCATTGGAAAATTAGAATCTCATGGTTTCTTTTAGTTAGTTAGTTAGTTAGTTAGTTAGTTAGTTAGTTAGTTAGCTAGTTAGTTAGTTTGTTTGGCTCTTCTTCTGGAATGGACTTTTAATATTAAAACTTTTTTTAATAGCATAGTAAGGAGATAGTGAATAAGGACTTATTGAATTAAATTTAATTGAAGATTTCTTCTCATTCAAATATCAATTGATCTAGAAACACAAAAAGAGTTTTTCATTTAAAGAAATTTTGCTTAACTATTTTGTAAGTTGAAAAATACATTTGTAATGCAGGTGATGACCTATTTTTTCCTACTTTTGAAGTATGGATTTTCAGATGATAAGCCTTAACTATTTAAGAATGCTTGTTAAAAAAAGGAAGGAAGGAAGGAAGGAAGGAAGGAAGGAAGGAAGGAAGGAAGGATTATTCTTATTCATGTGAAATAAAAGAACCAGCACCCTTTTTTTTTTAACTCTACCAGCAGGTTAATGGATGTAGAACAGAGATGCTTTCTAGCATGGATGGAGTGTCGCAGTCTGAAGTTTTTACACTCGAGCCTGTGGGAGGAGATCGCTGATTACCCAGGCATTTCTTCCTCTCTTTCTTTATGTTTTATCCAGCAGACTCCTTCAGCCACATTCTTCGGTTCAGATCTACTCCTGCAGCCCTTTTATCGATCTAAGTATCTGATCAGGCTTCCATCACCCTTATTTCTCCTGATTATTTTCTGAATTCTACTCCGTAGCTCTTTATCATGCTTTCTTGATTCAGAAATCTACCTATTTTACATTGAAACATTTCTGAAATCAAAATGACTTCTTTATGGTCCATCAAGAGGACTCTTTTCTTGCTTCCCTTCTTTTCCAATTTATTGGGACAGTGTGAAAACTATTGCAATAATGTCTATGAAAATAGGTTGTAAACTCTAAAATAATTCTTCTCAAACATTAACGCGCAGACTAAATTCTCAGGCATCTTGTTTAAAATGCAGATTCGGATTCGATAGTCTGGGGTAGGACCTGAGATTCTGCATTTCTAACAAGCTTCCAGGGGCTGCAGCTGTTGCTGCTCTGGGGTCCATACTTTGAGTAGCAAAGATCTGCGGCAGAATTTGCCAGATTTAGCACATAAAACACCAGACTCAAATGGAATACACTGATACTAAAAAAAAAAAAAAAATGATTTATTGTTTATCTGAAATTAAGGTTGAACCCGTAGTCCTGTATTTTATCCAGCAGCCCTACTTTAAGCTCCTATTAACATGTAAATATTCCTCTTTTTGTTCCTTAAGGAGCATATTACAATTTGTTGTTTTCTCTTTGTCTTCATGGATACCCTTGTTCTCTTTAATTGGACTTTTCTCTCTTTTTTTAAAAAAAAATTAATTTATTTATTTTTTATGGTGACATTGGTTAATGAAATCCAGTAAGTTGCAGCTGTACACTTAATGGGGCTTTTCTCATACTGAAAACAACAGCAACTGGACCGGGAGTCACATGGTTCAGTTATAAAATTACACACTAGGGAGAGTTGGAGCACAGGCCAGGTCGAAGTCATCTCGACAATGAATTGCTTAGGCTTTACACATCAAAAGAAAATTTTAGGTTGGAAATAAAGCACAGCCTTCACAATTGCAAGATATTGTTCATACAAACCTCTTGTCTCAAATGGGATGCCCTGTGGGCCATGGATGGATACTTCGAATCTCTGATCGGTACTTGATTCAATTAGTGGCTTAGTCAACTCAGGCTGCTGTAACAAAAATCCTGTAGACTAGGTAGCTGAAAAAGAAATTTATTTCTTATAGTCTGGAGGTTAGAAGTCCAAGATCAGGGTGCCAGCAGGGTTGGGTTCTGGGGACGGCACCTTTCCTGGCTTGTGGACAGTCACTTCCTCTCTGTGCCCTTAAATGACTGGGCAGGAGCAGCTCTGATCTCTTCTTTTGCATGTAAGAGCACTAATCCCATCATAAACGCTCCACTCTCATAGCCTTATTAAACCTAATGACCTCCCAAAGGCCCCACTTCAAAATGCCATCACTTTGGGGGCTGGGGCTTCAACATAAGGATCTTGGTGGGGGGCACAAAAATTCAGTCCATAGTAGTTAGTACAAAGAATCACATTCTATTTTATCAGAATAGCTAATAAAGGCTTTTCCTCAGAATTCATGGCAGTGTCTCTCACCCAAGAAAGGCAGCTTAGGATGCATCTTCAATGACCAGCAAGAGCGTGAGTTTGCAAGCGTAACTTCCACTTCTCTCATTTCTCACTTAGCTAAGCAACGTTTTGGGAGGACAGGGCAACACTCTGACTCAACTTGGACAAATAGAATTTGAAAGAACACTAGTAAATAAGGGAGGAAAATCGATAATAATCAAGAAGGCCAAAGGGAAAAAATTAAAAAGTCGTAGGGCAGATTACAAATCTAGGTGTCCTAAAGTTCCCAGAGTGAACCTGGAGACCCTACAAGTATGCTTGATGCCATCCGTCACCCCTGAGAAAGGCGTTCTGGGCAGCTGGGTGGCTGTAATGAGCTGTCTTCACAAAAGCTAGAGAAGAATTATTAGATGGGAGGCAGGAAAGCATAGGCTCAGAAAAAAATAAAACTTTTATATGGTTAGCATATACGGGTTAGAACTTTGTCAGGCAGCAAAAAATAAAGCCCTCATGGTGCTCACATTGGCTCCTCCCTCTTGCTTCTATAGAGACAGGTTGTTGCTTTTTGAGGACATAGCCTTGTCAAATTACACCATCTATATCTTCCTTGAGGATTGTCTTCTCT